ATTCGATGTTGCTTCTTACACAAGTTTCTTTTTCACCTCTCGTTGAATTTCGTCGAGAAGAATTACCGTCGAGAAGGTAACCAACATCATAGACAACGAAATTTACGGAAACTTAGGACAGCTTTTTAGAAAGCAAAGAAGTATCTAGAAAGAAGAACTAAGTTCTTCTCCTCAGAACAAGAATAGAACAAGTTTTTTTTCTTCCAGTACGGTAAAGCTGGCTGTTAGAGTACTCGCAATTTACCAAACTACCCACGTTGAGGTTTTTTTTCGTCTAACAAAAGAAGAGCAAAACTGTACTTTAAGGTTTTATCGACACACCCGAGTTCCTTAGCAGTATGCACCGGATGAAATTCTTTCAAATAATTCAGAAGGCGTTAAAGTACTTTTACTTTTGCCTTCAGCAAGAAAAATTTAAAGGAGATCTCAATTCCAATAACAATTTTTCGATTTCTAGAGATAATTTTTTGGATTTTTTTAAATATCTACTGACAAAAATGATACGCATTGCAATTTTTATTTCGGCTGAGAAAAATATTTTCATTTAGAGAATAAAATGCTATTTTCCTTAATTGAAAATTTTTCCCAGTATTACAGCCTTGCGAGTTCATCGAGTCGCGTGAGATAGTGTTTCTTACAAATTATCTAGGAATATCAAGGACGACAAAATTATCGATCCTACGCTAAAAATATACCTCGGCGAGTTTATCGCTCCAATGAGAGAACACTCACTTCGATTTGCATTTCTATATTGATATTCGGATTTTCTCATTTCCTTCATCCAGTTGGAAAAAAGACAATAAAAAGTAGGGGGGTAAAAAGGAAAATGATGAGAGAAAAATGAAATATTATTGGTATTGAGGTCGCACAATATTAAACTATCGTTTTTAATACTGAAAAATAACAGCGATATTTTTTTTCTCCAAATGTATTGAGAGAGAGAGATTATTATTAGTATCGGTATCATACTCGAAATTTTGCGCTGCATTCTTTACACGATCTGGTTCACTTACATATGCTGGTTTATTGTCAAATGGGCATATCTCCATGTACGCTTATCGAATTTCGATTCAAACTCCCTATTTCAATTCGAAATGTATTCCGTGTCAAGGGCAAATTCATTAGAAATTGCTTTTATGTTTGTTCGGCATAAATTATATCATGGAAAAGGCTTTTTTGATTAATGATTTTGTAATACGATTGGTCGTGAATTGAATGAAATGTTGCAATTCGATGAAAAATATTTTTCAACTCGGAACAAAAATTGAGAGAAAATTTTTTCCACTTTTTGATGATGTTTGTAAACTTCTCACAGAAACTTTTCACTCTAATTTTTTATTTTCGAAATATAGGCTGATTTTTAGTTTTTCCAACAAGTATTTACTACTATGGAATTAGTTTTCACATCTAAAATATGTAAGAGTTTGACCCTTGCGAAATATACAGAATTGACCTTTGTAGATTTTCAAAAAAACGAACAAAAAAGTTTGTTTCTTCTTCTACGTCTGTTAACCACATGACAAAAGTTTATGAATTTGGTACAATAATTTTTGGAAATTGGTCAATTCCACTAGATGATGTTGATTACACAAATTGCAGAAAGAACATCTTCTAAATTATTTGTCAGAATTTTGTCTAGTTAGACGATCTAGTCACCGAAATAAAAATTACTCCCAAAAACTGGACGATGAATAAATTCAAAAGAAAAAGAAGAAAAAATCCTGTTGATGAGAAAATTTCAGAAAAAGTTAATTCCACAATTTGGTGCAGTACTACTTGGGATACTTAGTTTAGTTCTACTTCCAGTTGTTGATGCAATTCAAAATCCAAAAATTCCACCAAGAAGTGGAATTAGAATTGGATCAATTTCTGTAATTAGTACTGAACTAAATAGTGAAATTGGTACTGGACCAAGTGCTGGAATTAGTACTAAATTAACTAGTGCAATTGGCACTACACAAAGTAGTTAAATTAGAACATCTATAAAGAAGGAAATCATCAGATTAAAATCGTTGCGGACTTTAACGAATAGTCTTTCTTTATTGCTATCACCAAGGTAGAAAGCATGATTCACGTGCAATCAGTGGATCAAACGATAACTCTTGAGTTCCACGACTTGGATTGCCTTACCCAAAAAAGAACAATCATTGGAAGAGATGCTCCCAAACTTTAATCTAATTAAAATTTTGTCCTTATTAGAAACCCTTTAGGAATCTTTTACGGCTCTTTTATGAAAAATTATCAAAGATTTAAGTTCGTGGTTAAAGTCACCAAAGAGAAGAATTTGCTTTTGTTCAACATCTTTAAAAAAGAATAACTTAGGAATAAATTAGGAAAAAGTTGTCCTAAGAAAAGACGAAGATGACTTCCAAACTACTTCAAACTACTGCGTCTAAAAGTACCTCCCTATTTCTAAAAACCACAGACTAAACAAATTACCCAACACTATCGATTCTGGACACTCGAAAACAAAAATCCAAAACAAAAGTCCTTTAAAAAAAGCAAAACAAATCCATTACAAATACCTAAGTACACAATTTCCATTCCTGACTGCATTTTTCATCTCTATTTTCTCTTTGCCATTTTTAACGGCAAAGAGGATTCATTTTACTTGGATTATAGTAATATATTTTCATTTAATACTGTTTTATGTTACACTCCATTTAATATATGGTGTGCTCTTGTATATTCTTTAAAAGAACAGCAATAATTTTTAGTGTTAGCCCAAAAAAAAAGAAAAAAATATGTAGTAAGTGTATCATTTGGTCTATGAATGGAATGATGTCAAGGGCAAGGTTAATTGCAGAAAACTTTTTGCTATTTATACATGAGAAAGAAAGGTCGTCGATAACTACCCACTTTTCCCCATCTAAAAAGGAGATCAGACCCACCCTCTTTAACCCCCACCCCCCTATTATATATGCCGTGTGTAATGACATATAATGGGGCTGATCATTATATCAGATGGGGAAGTATTTAGTTTTAGATTAACTACACTCGACACCATTCAAAAATCAATGCAAGGGAAATGCTCTCCCTCTAAAAATTTTTTTATCAAAAAAGGACAAAAAAAATTGTTTTTGTAAAAAATTTTTAATTTCTTGTTTGCAATGTTCCTGGATAGAAGCAGAGGGAGAAAAATATTCAAACGAATTTTCCATCTAATTTTTAGATTTTGATAATTGCTAAAAGCCAAAAAATAATATTTTTGAATTTTTTCCAAGCAAAAAAAAAAAAAATTCAAAACGAGTCAAAAACTTTGTCCAAGACTTTCCAAAAATAATGAAACTAAATAAATTCTTATACAGAATTTTCTAACACCATTAAAACAAAATCAAATTTTTCAATTCTTTTCCGGGCAAAAAGAGGAATTTAAAATAAGTACAAATTTCGATTTAAAATCTGTTCAATAAAGTCTACATTTTGATAATTGTTAAAAACAAAAAAGTACTATTTTTGAATTTTTCCGGGCAAAAAAAATTCAAAGCGAGTCCAATAAATTCGTTCAAGATTTTCCGATGAATAATTAAGGAAACTTTAAAAATTAAATAAAGTGTTTTACAGATTTTGATAATTGTTGTATCTTATGTTGTAAAAATAAATAAATAATTGTTAAAAACTAAAAAATACTATTTTCTAATTTTTTCCGGGCAAGCAAAGAAAAATTCAAAACTAGTACAAAATTTCATTCAAGATTTTCCAAGAATAATGAAAGAAACTTTCAAAACTAAAAAAAATTCTTATACAAAATTTTTAACACTATTAAAACAAAATAAAATTTTTCAATTATTTTTTCGTCAAAAAGTGGAATTCAAAATACAAAAGTATAAATTTCGATTTAAAATCCGAAAGCAGTTTAAGAATTTCCGAGAATAATTAAGGAAACTTAAAAAACAAAATAAACTCTTTTGCAGGTTTTGATATTATTTTGTTTACATACAAAAAATACTATTTTTGAATTTTTTACCAAGCAAAAAAAATTCAAAGCGTGTCCAAAATTTCATTCACGATTTTCCAACGAGTGATTCAGGAAAATTTAAAATTAACTAAAAATTTTTTACAGATTTTGATAATTGTTGAAAAACAAAAACAAAAAAATTCAAAAAAATTTTTGAATTTTTTCCGGGCAAAAAGAAAAATTTAAGCTAGTCCAAAATTTCATTTAAGACTTTCCGTTGAATAACTAAGGAAACTTTAAAAACTAAATAAAGTACTTTACAGAATTTTTCATCACTTGAAACGAAATAAAATTTTGGAATTTTTTTCCGGGCAGAAAGAAAGATTCAAAATGGGTCCAAATTTTGATTTATAATCGTCTCTAAAATCAGAATGTTTTTCAAGAATTTCCAAGAATAGTTAGAGAAACATAAAATAAATATAATATTTCACCGAATTTGTCAATTGTTAAAAGAAACAACCATTATTGAATTTTTTCCTGGCAAATGGTCTAAATTCAAAATAAGTTTTAATTTCAATTTAACACCTTCGAGAATAATTAGGGAAACTTTCAAAATTAAATAAAGTTTTTTATAAAATTTGTTTCAACAAAATTTGTTAACTTTTAAAAACCAAAAAATTCCCAGTTTTTGAATTTTTTCCGGGCAAAATGAGAAGATTTGAAAGAAGTCCGAAATTTTTTGCGAATAATTAAAGAAATTTTACATACTATATAAATACTTTTACGGATTTTTTTAATTGTTAAAAAAACAAAATTTACATTTTTGAATTCTTCCGGGCAATAAAAAGATCCAAAACGAATCCAGGGAAATATTTACTAATACCTTATTTCTAAAATTAAAAAAATTTCTGCTTTACAAAACTGAAATCTAAAATAAACTGCTTCTTTTAAATTTTGTATTTTTATTTTTTCTCTCAAATTTTCAATTCCCTTTTTATTCTTTTTTCCTTTTTTTATTTTCCATGCCCCATTTTTTATTTAGTTACAAACTAACCCAACTGTGTAACGAGTGTGTGTTTTTTTTCTTTTCTTTCTCTTGCAGTCTATCGATTACTAAATAAGTTAGGAGGCTATTTGTCACCGAGCAGTTCAGCTCCAGGAGATATAACTCCTTTAGTTGCTGCACTTTTAAAAATGAATGGAGCTCCTCTTTTTGATTTCTACATCGACACGGACCTTCAGGATTCATCTAAATTTGCCGTTTTTCTGGATCTGCCCATTGAGTACCAGATTAATTCATTTTTTCAACGAAATCTGGTGAGTTTTTGCAAAATTTTTTTGTTTTTCTCTTTTTTCAAAAAATAAGTTTAAAAGAAAATAAATTAAAATTTTTTCTTTCTACTTTCTTTTTTGACAAGAAAAAGTTTCACCCGGGCAAAGTTTTTGATTACTTTTTACTTACAGCATAGAGAAATTTTTCCAATAATTTAAAGACAATTTTTCTTCGTTTTGTCAAAATAAAAAAAAATCGTCTTTGAAACTAAAATAATTTTTTCCAAAAATCCAAACTCGGGTATTAAAATTTAAAAAACGATTCTAATTTTATTCTCAACTTTGAAGAAGTTTATAAAATCCTTTTTCGGAATTAAAGGAAGAAATATTTACATTTACAGCAAAGTTATTTGAAAGTTAAAAGGAAAATTGAAAATTTGTGAAAGAAAACAAAAAAATAAATTTCTGAACTTTTTTCGGGCAAAAAGAAAAGATACAAAATGAATTCATATGTTAATTCAATTTTTCGAGATTTTGTTAATTGTCAAAAAAAAATTCTAAATTTTTTCCGGGCGGAAAAAAGATAAAAAAATAAATTCGAATTTTGATTTTCTAAATCAAGAACAATTAGGGGAAAATTTTATAAACTAAAAATGAATGTTGGGGATATTTGCAATTGTTCGTATTGAAAACAAAAAAATACCACATTCGGATTTTTTCCGGGCAAAAAAGAAAAGTTACAAAATTAGTTTAAATTTCGATTTAATTTTTCCGAGAAAAATGAAGAAAACCATCTCAACTAATTAATTACTTTTACAAACTTTGGTAAATGTTACAAACCAAAAAAATTCTATTTTTGAATGTTTTCCGGGCAAAAAGAATAGATACTAACTGATTTATATCTTTGATCCAATTTTTCCATTTAAATATTTAAGAAAATTTTCTAATCTATATATAAACTCTTTTACAAATTCCTGATTGTTAAAATACATAAAAAATTTAATTTTTGGTTCTTTTCCGGGCAAAAAGAAAATTGAATATGAATCCGAATTTCGATTTAGGTTTTTAGAGAAAAATTAAGAAAACTTTATAAACTAAAAAAGAACTTTTAGGGTTTTTTTAATTTTCCGTTAAAACCCAAAAAATTCAATATTCTTTGATTTTTATGGACAAAAAGAAAAATTTTTAATTTAATTCAAAATTTCATCCAATTTTTCAGACTGAAAAATTAATCAAAACTACATTCCAATATTTTCGAAAATATTTTTTAAAAAACTGTCTAAACTAAATAAATTCTTTTACAAATTATTTAAATTGTTAAAAAAACCAAAAAATTTCCTTTTTTCGGGCAAAAGGGAAGACACTGAATGTAACAAAATTAGTTTAAATTTTGATTCAATTTTTCCGAGAATAATTAAGAATACCTTCTAAAATAAATAATTACTTTTGCTTTCTAATAATTAGAAAAAAATTCTAAATTTTGAATTTTTTCCGGGCAAAAGGAAAAATACAAAATTAGTTTTAATTCAATTTTCCCGAGAATCCAATTTTTTTTGTAAATCATTAAAAAACCTTTTAATTTAAGTGATTGTTTTTACAGATTTTGTTCCTAATAATTAGAAAAAAAAATCCAAATTTTGAGTATTTTCCGGGCAAGAAGAATAAATACCGAATGAATAAAATATTTCTATTTTTCCATAAGTAACTGAAAATCACTTTTTTAACTAAATGAATTCTTTTACAGATTTTCTTATTTGTTAAAATACCCAAAAAATTTATTTTTGAATTTTTTCCGGGCAAAAAAATAAATATAAACGTAATATAAAAATAATGAATGAATCAATTCTACGGGAATAATTAAGAAAACTTTATTAAAGAAATTCCTTCACAAAATTTGTTTACTGTTTTTAATTTTTGAAGTTTTTCCGGGCTAAAAGATAAATATAAATATAATATAAAAATATTGAATGAATCAATTTTCAGAACCAATTTTTTTACGAGAATAATTAAGAAGACTTTATTAAATAAATTCTTTCACAAAATTTCTTAATTGTTTTCAATTTTTGAATTTTTTCCGGGCAAGAAAACGAAGCAAGTGATTTCGAATTTCAATCAATTTTTTATTTGTAAAATTTTAAAAAACTATAAATAGAATTTTAACTACGTCTGAAATATATCTCGTAAAAAATCCCTCTTTTACATTTCTTTTTTGGCACCAAAAAAGAAAAGAAAGTAAACGAATCCAAATTTCGATAAATTTTTTTACGAGGACAATTAAGAAAACTTTTGCGAGCAATAAAATAAAGTCTCTTAAAGAGAGAATAAGAGAGGAGGGGGGAGAGTAAAATTTTTCGAAATAATAATAAATAAATGAATGAATCTGAAATCAAAAGGAATTTAAACTATCTTCTAGATTGAAAAATCAGACCAAGGTTGAAAAAAAGAGAGAGATTTTCCAAGGGCTGAAGGAAAATTATAAAGACCCACCATGTGTTGGCTCGTTTGATATCTCCACAGTTTGCATGTTTTGGCAAAAAGCCAACAAGTCCAGGGCTACCCGAAATCCTCCCATTCCCGCCACACGACTTTTCTCTTTCTTGGCTCCAGACTGTCTCGAGATGTCAGACATGTTTCATTTCTTGCAAATAAACTCTTCTCTACGTCCCCCCACCCCTACACTTTTTCTCCCTCCCTTCTATTATTCAATCTCTTTCACTTCCTTTTACTCTCGTCGCTTTTCACAAAAATTTCCTTCACTTATTTCAATAATTATCTAATCATTCATTCTCTCATTTTGCAGATTTAATAAAAAAATGGAACAAAAAAATATCATTTTTCACACTAAATTACTTTTCGAAAAAAGGAAATTATATTAAATATTCAAATTTGGAATTTTTTATAGTCTCATTATTTAAAAGATGAAATATTTCGTCACGGATGAAACATTTTCAAAATTTGCAAAACTTAATTCGAAAAAGTTCAAAACTTTTTTTGCCCGGAACAAATTGAAAAGTAGAATTTTTTGGTTTATTAAGAGTTTATTAAGTCATTCACAGTAAAGTTAAAAACTTTCTTAATATCTTCTTTAAAAAAAAAAAAATTGAAATCACATTTTTGGAAAAAATTTTGTGACAGGTGAAAAATTGAAAATTTTTATTTTTCAGTATTTTAAAAAGAAACTTAATAAAGTTATGGTGCTTTTGAAGATAATTTTTCAATTTTTTTCTATGGAGATTTTTGTAAATTATCGAAAACAAAAAAATATTATTTTTGAATTTTTTCCGTGTAAAGAATCAAACCGAGTTCAAATATTCGTTCAAGATTTTCCGACGAATAATTAAGGAAACTTTAAAAACTAAATAAAGTACTAATAATAATACTAATAATAAAAACTAAATAAAGAATTTTTCAACTCTGAAACAAAAGTATTTTTCAATTTTTCCGGGCAAAAAGAATACAAAGGGAATTCAAAATTACGTTCAAGATTTTCGGAGAATAATTAAAGGAACTTTAAAAACAAACTAAAGTCTTTTACAGATTTTGGTAATTGTTGAAAAACAAAAACTACTATTCTTGAATTTTTTCCGGGCAAAACAAAAAATAGCTACTCCAAAATTTCATTCAAGACTTTCAGTTGAATAACTAAGGAAACTTTAAAAACTAAATAAATTCTTATACAGAATATTTCAACACTTGAAACGAAATAAAATTTTGGAATTTTTTCCCGGGCAAAAAGATACATTCAAAATAAGCACAAATTTCGGTTTAAATTCGGTTCTAAAATCCGAAAATAGTTTAATAATTTCTGAGAATAATTAAGGAAATAATATGTTTTCCTTTCGCAGAATTTGTTAATTGTTAGAAAAAACTACGTTTTTCGAAAATTTTTTGCGCGCAAACAGCAAAAATTAAAAAATAAGTTCGAATTTTGATTTAATTTTTCTGAAAATAATTAAGGAAACTTTTTAAACAAAATAAAGTCTTTCAAAGGATTTGTCAACTGTTAAAAACAAAAAATTCTTATTTTTGAATTTTTTCTGGGCAAACAAGAAGTTATGTTTTTAATTTTTTGAGTTTAAAAATACAGGAAGAAAATTAATTATAAATTAAAATTATTGATCTGCAAGTCTTCATTATTTCGAAAATATCCAATGAAAATTTGTTTCAAATTCAAATAATTAAACATAAACTTTTAATCAAGATAAATCTAACACGAACATAACCTATAATTCGTTTGCTTCTTATTTAAAAAACATTTAAACAATTTTTTGTTAAAAATTCACTTCGCGACTTGTATTAATTAAAAAAATTATCGTGTAAAAAAATTATAATTTTCTAAATTAGAAATAAAAAATTTGTAAATTTGAAAATTTCAGTTTAAAAAAAATTCATAACACAGGACGACAACATTTTTTTAAAGGAAGTATTGATCGGACTATTTTTTTTATGTTTTTTAGGTCGCTGAATTCGAATCCGAACTTTGTTTTCCGCCATCACATCAAGTTTCTTCACAAATTAATAAAATTCGAAAAAAACTGACTGTAAAAAAGATTTAAATAAAAATAAGCAGAAGATTCTATTAAAAAACAACTTTAAAACACTGAAAAAATATTATATAATGTTAAACAATCAAAGAAACTCGTAAATATTCAAAATTTAAGATGGCGGATTCAATATGGCGTCGATTTTTTAAAATTCACCCAATTCGCCTAAAACTTGTTACTCGGGGGTTTTTGAAGTTGCTAAATACGAATTTCACCTTAGTTTTTAAAAATTCAAAATGGCGGATCCAATATGGCTGACTAATTTTTAAAAAAATTATTGGATTTATCTGAAACGTTATACTCGGGGGTTTTCAGGGTCGCTGAATACGAATTTCACCTTAGTTTTCAAAAATTCTAAATCTGATAAATTTTTAAATAATTCATTAGCCATATTGGATCCTTCGTTTTGGATTTTTGGAAACTAATGTGAAATTCGTATTCAGCGACCCTAAAAACCCCCAAGTAACAAGTTTCGAATAGATCTGATAAATTTTTTAAAAATACGTCAGCCATATTGGATCCTCCATTTTGAATTTTGAAAAACTAAGGTGAAATTTATATTTAGCGACCCCAAGAACCCCCGAGTAACAAGTTTCAAGTAAATCTGATACATTTTAAAAAAATTAGACAGCCATATTGGATCCGCCATTTTGAAGAAACTTGACGTGATGGCGCAAAACCCAAAAAAGATATAAAAACATGGTCCGGTCAATACTTCCTTTAAAAAAAATTGTGTGGTTCTGTGTAATCAAAGGGAAATTCAAAGCAAAACAAGAAATTTCTAAAAAATTTTACCTAAAAGAGTTTCAACTATGTCAAATAATTTAAAATAAAATTTTTCAATTATCCAAATGTTCCATTTTTTCAGAAATAACAAAATTTTTTTTATCACATCAAAAATTTCGAAATTAAAATTTTCCGAAGAATAAAAGAAAACAAAGAAAAAGCTGTGCAATTAGTAGATTCAAATTTTGATAAATGGTTTTAGAATACTAAAATTAATAAAATAAATAAAAGAGATAATGAAAAAAATTGAATAAAAAAATATTAGACTGTAAAAAATTTTTTCTATTTTCCAATCAAAAATTTCATTAGAAAGAAAATTTTTATTTTCCCTTAATACCTGAAGGGAAGAAGAATTATAAACGAAATGAAAGCACAATACTAAAAAAAAACAAAAAAAAACTTGTAATCTTTGCCCTACAATTCATATTGCATCCGTGTAACGAGCAATAATTTTTTATTTGCTTTTGCCGCTCGATACAGAAGAGAACATTCGTTGAAATTGAATGTCATTCGTGTAACGAATAAAAGATTAATTTGAAACTCGTTTTAAAGTACTATTCTATAGTTTTCCTTTTTAGCAGCGGAAAATTTACTTCAAAATCGTATAAAAAATAAAGTGGCAACATTCATTTGCAATTTAATTTCAAATTATTAACAATTAAAAAATTTTTTATTAGAATTTCTCAGATTCCTCCGTTTTATCTCAATAAACAAACAAATAAATAAATAAAAGAAAAATATTGAAAAAGATGAATAAAGATCAAATAACTTAAAAAATATTTTCCAAAAAAAAGAAAAAATGTCAGGATTAAAAATTTATTAAAATCGGAAAAATTTAAAAATTTCATATTTTGGAAATATTCCAACTTTTTCAATTTAACGAAAAATCGTTCATGTGATTCAAAATTTTCTAAACTTGAAGAAAAATTAGAAATCTAATTTTTTGGAAAAATTCCAACTTTTTCAATTTAACGACAAATTTTATTCATGTGATTCAAAATTTTCTAAAATTCGTAAAAAAAAATAGAAATTCAACTTTTTAGAAAGATTGGAACATTTTTAAATTTAGGAAAAATTTATTTCTCAATAATTTGCTTCTAAACATAAATAAAATTTAATTTAATTTACATATATATTTAATTTAAATATATTTTTTAACCTGTTTTTAATTTTTTTTAAATTAATTTGTTATTTATTTATAAATAAAAAATTAATTTCTCATTTTTTGACATAGAAAAAGAAAGAAAAGAAAAATGATTAAATATGATTTTTTAGGGTGAAGAATAACTCTAATAGAAAAAATTTGTTTTATTATAAGAAAAAAAAGTTTTAGGCAAATTTTAATGTTTAAAATGAAAAAAAATTGATAAAATATTTCGCTAATTAAATTGATCTTATTTTCGAATATTTAATCCTAGTATTTTGTAGGACAGCGTATCAAGACAATTAAAAGGATTCAGTTTTGTCGAAAATCGTAGCAAAAGATCGACTACTGCAGAAAGTAGTGCCTATTCAATAATTAAGGTACTGTTTTTCTTAAAAAGTTAATTTATCAAACTTATTAAATTAAAAAAATTTAGTGATAAAAAATTGTTTTTAAAAATTTCAGTAAAGTTAAAAAAATTTTAAATAAATTAAAATTTTTTTAAATTTTTAATTAAGAAATGGTAAAGCAATAATATAATTAATAACTGATATTAATAAGTAATTAATTAATAATTTTAATTATAAATTAATAGAAAATATTAACATTTAATTAATTTAATAATTATGTTAAATATTATTAATTTTAATTAATGCATAATTTAAAATATGATTCAATTAATAGAAAACATTATTAATTAATTAAAAGTTATAATTATAAACAAAGTAATAAAAAATATTAATTTCTAATTAATTTAATAAAAATTAATTACTACTTTCCTTTTGTATATTAAAATTAAAAATTATTCTGTTTTTAGAGCAAGAAGGAAGAAGCTAGAATTCGTAAAATTGAGAAAATACTAGATAGGTTGATACCGATCGATATGGATCCACAGGCACGATCCTTAGAGGCAGATCAATTAATACAATTTTGCTTAGCTCTGCACAAGGTAATTTAATTTAATTTTCTTCATTAATTCTTTTTATATAATAAAAAAATTAGTCCTCGATAATTTTTAAAACTACTACATTTGTTTCATCAATAATTTTTCAATTAGATATTTTATGATTTTTAATTATAATATAAGTTAATTACTTTATTACTAACACATTTTTTAGTTAATAAATAAAATTACCATAAAATTATTTCTTCGGCTAATAATAAAAATTTTAAAAAAATTGTTTATCAGATCTATCCCAGGCACAAGGATTTGTACAATTGGATGGACATTGATCATAGGATTTATGTGCGCTACAATTTATCGTTTCTTCAGGAGAGCTTTGATTATGTATGAATATTCATTAATATAAGGAATTAAAATTAAGAATTAAAAAATTTTTCACAAAGTATAAATTTACAGAGAATAAAAATAAAGTTCGAAATAGCGTTAAATTTTTGTTCAATTTTAAACAAATTAATAAAATTTGTAAAAAAAATTAATTAATTAAAATAAATAAAAAATTGTACTAAATTAATAGTAAAAAAAATATAATTAATAAGCGAAACGTGAACAAGGACTGAGAATAGAGCGCTTTGACCAATAGACGACGATCAAGGAGGGGGAGGGATAGCGTGCGTCCACCAATGAGGCGGTGCGTCACTCAAGAAGTGGGGACCGTGCGCGCTTGCGCAGTACTCCCGATTAACATATCGGGTAAAAAAATACAACGCTAGTTCGGACTTTATTGATAACATAATTAGTAGTAATCAATTAATTAATAAAATTAATAATAATATTCTGACTCTACCCACAAAAAACAAAAAATTACTAAAGGACAAATCCCATTTACTTTGAAATAAATAAATAATTTGCAAATAATTATTGGTAAATAAATAAATTATTAATTAAAAAAACATCATTAATCTTTCGTTAGATAAGATGGGAAATTCTATTAAATGCTACCATTGGTAATACCACTGCCGATCAAAATAATCGAAATCGTGCCGATTATGAGACTGGGAGCGAAAATGAAAGTCTTTATTATATCTACGTGACGGCGCCTCGTTATTTTCGAAGCTTGGGAAAATTATTAAATAAGTTTCCAAAACGGTAAGACAATTAAAAAAAAAAATTGCCACCAAACATTTTTTTCCACAAATTTCAAAATAATACTCTCGATATAATTTTGAATCCTCTTTAAATTCCGTTAATATAATTTTCAACTGAATTTATTATAATATAATTTGTCATTTGCAGGGTTATTCACAATGGCTTACTACTACTTTATTCGAGTGATACTTTTTACGATATAGTAAATGTAACTGCGAGTGAAAACTGGAACACTTCTTGCTACCATTTAACAAAAAACGTTTTCAGTGAAACTGTAGGAGCTCTTTATGTGCAACAGTACAAACCTCAATTTTTAGAAACACTAGCTAATAGGGTGAGCAATTTTCCACAACGAAAACATAGTTTCAAAACTCCCGACAACTTCACCACAGTAATAATTTATTACCCAACGGGCGTTTCAAAAAAGAAATAAAATAAAAAACACTTTTCAATTTCTCCCTAGATTTATTGTAATATTTATCAGAGAAAAAAAATTTCACTTTTACTCTACCAATGTTAACATATTATTTCAATTCAAAATTTTTCGATTAAATTTATTTATTATTCATTCAAAAAACGGCAAAATAATTTTCAAAAAAAGTCAAATTAATAAAAATACAAATTTATTGCAAGAGAAAAAATCTAAACTATGAAAAGTAATTAACAAACAAACAGAATTCAAATTGTGCAAAATAATTAAATTACAAAAAATGAAATACAATACAAAATAACTAAAATACAAAAAAACTTGAATTGAAAATAAAAAATAATTTAATTAGAAAAAAATTCGAATTCTAAATACTAAAAACGTATTATTTCAGTAGTGGGGGCAATCTACTATACTACAAACTGCGCACGCCGCGTGTCAGTAGTGGGGATAAGCCAATGAGAACGTTTTTCCCCTCTAATGACGCGCGATGCGCACATAAAGGAAGCCAATAAGAATGCGCGCGCAGCTTTTCAGTAGTGGGGTTAACCAATACAAATGCTCTCACCACTACTAAGAACCCTGCGCAGTGTTTGTAACTCAGAAAGTAAAAGGCAAAATTTAAACGACGCTATATTATAAATAGTTGAATATTTGTGAATTATAATTACTTACAAATTATAATTTACGAATTATTTTATTTATATTTATAAATATTTATAAATATATTTATATTTGATTTACAATTATTTATAAATATTTACAAATATATTTATATTTTCTTTATATAATTATAAATTTGTTTTTATTTTATTCATATTTATAAATATTTTAATAAGTTAATTTTCGAACATTAAGATATATAAATTACAAATATTAACTGCAAATTATTTAAAACTTTAAACACTTATAATTGCACAATTAAAATTGAATTTGGAATTTGAATTTTTCTCTGAATTATAATTTGCATAATTGTAAAAAAAAAAAATAATGCAACGAAAGTATTTAAATTTTTCCGCAAAGGTGACAGCATTATTTGAAAGATTAAAGGAGAGTCTAGCTACACGAATGTTAGTTATGTCCTGGTTGGATGACGACACAAGGACGCAAGCTTTGCTCAAGTTACGTACCTTACGAGGAAAATTCCACGTCTGGTCCGGTTTTTTTAATAATACTTTATTGGCTAAACAAATGTCGGAGGTAATTATTTTTAACTAACACAACGAAAATTTACCTAAAAAAAGCTGTCGTAACCTAAATCTAACTAATTTTTTATTAAAAAATTTTTTTTCCCAGGTCGTTATTGATCCAGATGATTTTTTCACGACACTCTTGAGAAGATTCGAGCAAATTCGCACTATGGATGGTCAATGGTCCACCAGAAATTCAACTCAAAAGTATTTACAAATTTTTTCAATAATTAAAAATTTTTTAAATAATAAAGCTTTAAAAAATTTTTAAATAATAAATATTTAAAAATTCTTTAAATAATAAATATTTAAAAATTCTTTAAATAATAATATTTTTAAATTCTTTAAACAATAAATATTTTTAAATTATTTAAATAATAAATATTTTTAAATAATTTATTAATAAAAATAATCTTGAAAAATTTCTTATTCGATTTTAACGATTTGTGGGAAATTTTTTATTTCTAGCTGGAAACATCACTATTCTGTTAATGCCTATTACGAGTCGTGGACAAATTCAATTGGTAACAATTTCATTTCTTTTAAAACCGTAAAGATTTTTCTGAAAAAATAAGAATTGCATTTTCAGAAAAATAAAAACTCTTTTTGGAAAATAATTATATTTCTCAAAATAAAAACTCTTTTTAGAAACTAATAATTAAATTTCAGAAAATAAAAATTCTTTTTAGAAAATAATTAAATTGTTTTTAAAAAATAATTTTTCTTCCGAAAATAAAAATGGTTTTTTAAAAAATACACTTATACTCGAAAAAAATAAAAATTATTTACAAAAAAATAATTATTTCAGAAAACAAAAATTATTTTTAGAACATAATCTCATAATAATTAATTTTTAATTGTATTTTCATTAGTAATTCCGTTGCCAATGATGGCAGCTTGGTCTTGGTCGTGGGATGGTGGTCCAGCATTTGCTTCATACGCGACTCTTGGTTCAGTAATTGCTCACGAAATACTTCACGCTTTTGACCTTCATCACCGACGTTTGCCACTAGATCCAGATTCGGATGTGACTTTAGGTGAAAAAAATATGGTCTATAACTAAGGGCCTGGAACGGATAACTGACAGTTATCCGTTCCAGGCCCTCAATTATTATTCTTGTATTTAATAAAAATCATCAATTAAATCTAGCGCCGAAATCGGTCGACTTTGAGAGACACTGAGCGCGCGCCAAAGTGGGGGAACGAGTCCACCAATCACTGTCGTTCTCCCCACTCCTCGCCCGCTGCGCGCGCAGTGTTCTCAACCTCAGTCACGAAAAAATTAGTTATACAAACGACACTAGCTCGAATTCGAAAAGTTTTTTAGTAATTTAAATCAATTAAATTACTATTATAACTTAAATTATAAATTTAATTAATATAATATAATAGTAATTGTTAATTACTATTATAATTTTTAAATCAAAAATTATATTATTTTTATACTAATTTTATAATTATATAATAAATATAATTTACTATAAAAAATTGTTCCTAGAGATTTTCGGTCATTAAAATAACAAACCCAAAAAAGTAAATTTTAACTTTAAGTGTCATTTTTCGTGTTTTGTTTCCTTAAAAAAAGCTCTCTAAATTATTATGTCACAGGTAACGAAAGGTGGATCTGGATAACTCCTGAATCATGGAGAAGACTAGAGGCGAGAATAGAGTGTGTCTCAAATTTATATGCCAGGAGCTTTTGGCGAAAGGTCAAGTTTTATGGAAACAGTGTCGATGTTCAGGTGAAGCATTGAAATTTAAAATTTAAAACTTGAGAAATCTCAAATTTAAATTACAAACAAAAAATTAAGTATTCAAATAATTTTAATTTCAAATATTTCGACTTTCCTCTTTAAAAATGTGTCCCCCTAATTTTTATCGAGAAAAAAGATTTGTTTTACACTTTTAAAAACTCTTTTACATTTTTTAGTTTACTTTTCCTTTTTTCACTTTACTTTTTTTTCTTTTTTTGAAGTAAAACTAATTTTTTTCCTCTTTCAAAAGTAATTTTTTTTCCCTTTTCATTTCAACCCTTTTATTTTTCAGTTTGATTGGAATGTGACGAGAAATGAAAATGTGGCGGACGTTGGGGCGTTACAAATTTCTTATCAAACTTGGCATACTTTAACAAATGGAAAAGATCGAAGTTTACCAGGATTGGAGGCCCTTCGTCCCAGTCAACTTTTCTTTATAAGCGCCGCTCAAGTAAGTTTTCCTTCCATTTTGACAAAAAAAGAAAATTTATTCTGATTCCTTTCTTAATTGAAAAAAATTGAAACTTTTTTTAAGAACAAAAAATATTACTTCTGATAATAAAATAAAATTTCAGACCTATTGTTCTAACATGACTGCCGAGGCTTATATTCTCTCTGTCGAGCTTGATTATCACACGCCTCAACCAGAGAGGTAAAAATAATTTTAAAAAAATTTTATTCGAAAAATTTTTCTTATAAAAACAAAAACTTATAAAGTTTTGTTTCCTAAAAATGTTTTTCCTAATTTTTAGAGTAAACGGCATAATGATGAATTCATTTCCATTTACTGAAGCATTTCGTTGTCCTGCTGGTGCCAAAATGAATCCACCAAAAAAATGCTCGACCTGGTGACACGGAGTGAAAAATATCGAGGAAAAATCAATCGCAATGGAAAATTTTTTCATGAGCGCAGTTTTTTATCACTGCTACTGAATTTAGAACAAAAAATTCCAATTACCCAACATCGACGAATTAATGGATTTTCTTTGCTAGAAAACTGAACTGGTAACATTTTTTTTTCTAAACCTATACCCGAAAAATAAATAAATTTATTACCCTCAGGAAAAAAAATTTATAAATAAAAAGGAAAAAAAGATACAGAAAATAGATCGAAGTAAAAAATTTTAAAAATAAATAAATACGATACAGAAAATAAATCAAAATAAAATAAACAAGAGAATAAAGAAAAAATTTTTTACATTGAAACCATAAATAAAACGAAATAAATAATTTAATTAATTTAAAAAACCAATTTTCTAAAAGTAATTTTTTTTTAAATATTTCAAATAAATTTATTTATTTTATTAAATTTCAGAAAGAAAAGGACTTCGAAGAGAAAAAATCGTCATGGAAAAATTTCAAGAACCAGGAGAAAAAGAAGAAGACAAAAAAAAAAGAAAAAACCGATCCGACTGGGAATTTTTAGTTTTTTTAAAAAGGGGGCTCATTTCCACTTGAAAGCTATACAATAAAAATTAAACGAATATTAAAACTTTAGAACTTTAAAAAACAAAAAAATAGGAATTATCAGCCGAAAAAACAAAATACAATAATTAAATTAAAATGAGTGGCAAAAAAAAAGATTAGTATAAAAAAATTATTTATACAGAGCCTTAGGAAAAAAATTCTAATGACCTTGTTATTACTTATTAAATATATATATATATAGTTAAAAGTAGAAGAAATTAAAAAAAACTAATAGTAATGTGTTGTAAATCACGTATAATTATAGGTTGGCCAATAAATTGACATTCACAATCTAAAAAAATATTTTTCAAACTAGCAGTAAAAAGAAATGGAAAATATTAGCTGCTTTTGAGGTCACTAAAAAAATATAGATTTTATTTAACTTTTTTTCTCTAGACTTCATAGTGATCATAAAAAAAAATTAAAAATAAACACCAAACAAATTTTTACTGTACAGATCGACTACTTAATTCAAAAATCACGTCCTTATAAAAATTAATCAAAAAAAAGAAAATACACAGGAAAAAATAAAAAAAATACTTTCCCTGTGTAACTTTTTTTATAGAATAAAAATGCAATAAAAAAATTAAAATTTCAGTCCACAGAGTGAAGAGCAAAACCAAAAAAAAAAAAAAAATAGCCTCGCGTAATTAAAAAAATGCTTAAATTATGTAAATAGACGTCCAAGTTAAAATTTAAAAAAAATATGGTACTATACCTCTCTTCGTTGAAATACTGCTTTTTATTGCATAATATTAATAAAAATATAAAAATATTATATTTAACGCACTATTCAACATTTTTGGAGTCAATTAAATATATATTTACATGAACTGATTTGCATATGCAATAATTTAAAAATTTTAATATTTTAACACTTATAATAAATGCATTGCCTTAATTATAAAACAAAAAAAAAATAAATTTTCAATTGAAATACTTTGTCAATATAAAATTACACTTTGTCAATTCAAAAAGAAAAATACTTCCTAACTCTTATTATAATTAGCAATAATAATAATATTAATAATTTCACAAAACATGTATAGTAATTTAACGTTAATTAAATTACTGTATATGCAAAAATTTTCATTAGACAATAATGAAGCTGACATTTGGAATATGTTTTAAGTACGAAGAAAAAAATCAAAAAAATTAAAATTAAGCAAAATTTATGAAAAAAGTAAGAAAATTAAAATTTCTAAGCAGTTTAATTTTTTTACAATAAATAAAAAGTTTGAAAAAATTTTTCTATACGTAAAAAAATAAAAATCACTTTTGGTCAATATTAAAAAAATACTTTTTGGTAGAATTTCCAAAAATAATTTTTACTGGTAAAAAAATTTAACTATAAAAAAAACTCTTTGGATAGAAAACATTCTTTAAAAATAGTACTTTTTGGTGGTAAAAATACTTTAGAGTAGAAAAAAATATAAAGAAATTTTTTGTGATAAAAAACAAAAACTAAATTTTGGTAATGATTCCAAAAAGTATTTTATGTCAAAAAAATCTAAAAATACTTTTTATTGGCAAAAAAAGAAATAATTTTTTTGGAAGCAAAACACAAAAATTTCTTTTTGATTAAAAACATTCAAAAAAATACTTTTTGATGGTAAAAATTAAAAAAATACTTTTTGGTAGAAGATATTAAAAGAATAATTTCCAATGGTAAACAATATTACCATTAAAAGAACTTTTTGGTAGAAAAAATTGTTTAAAAAAGTACTTTTTGGTGGTAAAAATACTTTCGAGTAGAAAAAATTCTAAAAACAACTTTTTAGTGATAAAAACAAAAAATTAAATTTTGGTAAAAATTCCAAAAAGTACTTTGTGAAAAAAAATTCTAAAAATACTTTTTATTGGCAAAAAACAAAAACAAATTTTTGGTAAAAACGCAAAAAATACCTCTTTTGAAGTAAAAAACAAAAATTTCTTTTTGATTAAAAACATTCAAAAAATACTTTTTGATTAAAAACATTCAAAAAATACTTTTTGTCGGTAAAAATTCAAAAAGTACTTTTTAGTAGAAGAAATTCCAAAAATAATTTTCACTTGTTTAAAAGTTTTACTATAAAAATCTTTTAGTTAGAAAACTTTTTATTGTAAAAGTACTTTTTGGTGGTCAAAATACTTTTTGGTGGTCAAAATACTTTCGAGTAGAACAAATTCTAAAAACAACTTTTTAGTGATAAAAAACAAAAATTAATTTTGGTGAAGTTGAAAAAAGTAATTTGTGCCAAAAAAATTCTGAAAATCGATTGTCAAAGAGCAAAAAATATTTTTAGTAAAAATGCAAAAAATACCTTTGGTAGTAAAAAACAAAAAATTCTTTTTGTTTAAAAACATTCAAAAAATACTTTTTGATAGTAAACATTTTAAAAATACATCTTAGTAGACAAATTTTGAAAAATAGGTACTTTTTGGTGGTAGAAAAAATTTAATAAGTAATTTTTAGTAGAAAAAACTGCAAAAAATACTTTGTGGGAATAAAAAATTCCAAAAATAATTTTTATTGGTAAAAAACAAAAAAAAAATTTCGTAAAAATGCAAAAAATACCTTTTTGAAAGTAAAAAAAAATTTCTTTTTAATTTAAAACATAAAAAAAATTTTTTTTAGGGTAAACATTTGAATAATTCTTTTTTGTAAAAAAAATACTTTTTGGTGTTAAAATTTCAAAGAATACTTTTTTTGTAGAAAAAATACACAACTACTTTTTGATAGAAAGAATTCTAAAATTTGGTAGAAAAAATACTTTTCTGTAAAAATATTTCAAAAATAACTTTATGCTAGAAAAAAAATACATTAATTTTCCCGCTACAAAAAAAATCTAAAATATATTTCGTTTCCAAGAAAAAATATTTTAAAACACAACAAAAATCAGCTTCATCAGGACAATATATATTTAAGATTCAAATTAAAAAAAAATTTTCTGACCACTGTATCATTCTTATCAGGCGAAAAAGCATTTTTTGTATAATATTAATTTTTTTCATACTGTTTCCAATATATAAGTAATATTACGAAAAAATAATACTGTCGGTTGAAGAAAAAAAAAAGTACGACTTCAATTATAAATCATGTCAATAAAAAAAATATTTTATTATAAGTGACAAGACAAAAAAGAAAAGAAAAGAAAAATTCGAAAAATTTTAAGAGAATGATTTTCTTTTTTAAATAACAAAAATCACTTTTGTGTAATTTTCAAAATGGAAAAAAATCGCGTTCCACCGGCAAACGAGAGACAAACTGTGATATTATTAAAGTTAAAATGTGACTATTCAATGGAAAAAAACGGGGAAATAAAGAATTTAGTCGGTTATTAATAAATAAAATAACAGGAATAATGAAATTCAATTGTTAATAATTGTATAAAACAACGAAGCAAAATTACTGACTCAACGATATTGCCACTTTTTAAAAGATGCTAATTTGCAAAAGAAAAAAAATTTTTTGTTGAGAATTTAGAAAACATTTTTTAATGTTTGAATTTAACCAGTTGAATGTTGAAAATAAATTGAGACTTGGAAATCACAAAATTTTATTTTATTAACTTACAAGAAATTTTTTTATTGATTTAGTAAAAATTTTTCCGGTATTTTTAATTTCCTTAATTAAAATTTATTTTTTAAAATTAAAATTTGTTTTTTAAAAATTTAATTTATTTTCTGAAATTCATTTATTTTCTGAATTTAAAATTTATTTGTTAAAATTTTAATTTATTTTCTGAATTAAAAATTTATCTTTTTGAATAAAAATTATTTTCTGTAACTAAAATTACTTTTCTGAATTAAAAATTTATTTTTTGAAATTAATTTATTTTCTGAAGTCCAAATATATTCTTTGAAAATAAAATTTACTTTCTGAAATTTAAATTCACTTTTTGAAATTAAAATTTATTTTTTAAAATCAATATTTTTTCTTCTCTGAAATAAAAATTTATTTCCGAAATTAAAATGCTAATTCCCAAATTAAAATTAATCTTTTCATACTAAAATTTATTTAATTAAATCCTAATTAAATTTTCGCAACTAAAATTTAATTAATTTAATTCAAATTCAAATTATCTAGATTGTTATAAATTTCCATCACTTAACTGGTTATATTGACAATTGTGTATAAAAAATATTTATGAGTTTATTAGGCGTGACAACGTCTATTCATTCACCACTACCCACTCTCAAAAATGTCTAATCAACTTCAACTTTATTTAATAAAAAATTATTGAAAATTCACAAAGGCAAAAACGATAATAAAATTTTTCCAAATAAAATGTTAGTTAAAAAAACTTTTTCAAATAAAACCATTTGCCCTCATAACACTTTTGGAAACAGAACTTAAGAAATAGCGATTTTATTTATCCACGATTGTCAGTAACTGTATATATACGTCTGTCAGTAATTTAGAAAACTAAATAAAAATTTCCTAGTCAAAAACGAAAAAAAATAGTAGAGAAATCTGTCTTAAATTATAAATATCTAAATACTACGAACTTTTGAAAATATTATTTATAGTTTATTAAATAATAAGACAATACAGT